GGAGAGGAGGGGCTGCACCAAGAGCAGGTGAGTCCTGAGACCCCCCCTGGTGTTCCCAAGACCCTCTTGGTGTCCCCAGTTCCCCCCTTGACACCTCAAGACCCCCCTGGTGTCTCCAATGTCCCCAGGGCCTCCAATTCCCCCCTTGACACCCCGAACTCCACTGTCCCCAAACCCCATCCCTGATGTCCCCAACCCTCCATCTCACCCAAGGATCCCCCCCCTGGATCCTCTGAACACAAAAGCGACCCCCCCACCACCACTCACAGAAAGGCCAAGAGCATCTGGGGACATGTTGCGGACAGTTGGGTGGCTTTGCAGGGCACTGGGGGATTACTGGGGGATACTGGGACACACTGGGGGGAACCAGAGGGCACTGGGAGGGACTGGGGGGGAACTGGGGCACACTGGGGGACACTGGCAGAGAACTGGGGAGTTACTGAGGGATACCAGGACACACGGGGGGGACACTGGGAGGTTACTGGGCCATTCTGGGGGTTACTGGCTGCTCACTGAGATACGTTGGGTGGTCACTGCAGGGGTTACTGGGTTATACTGAGGGTCACTGGGAGGTCATTGGAATATACTGGGGACACTGGGATCCCCTTACCCGGATGTGGTACATCTCCCCCCCCCCCCCGGATTTTGGGGGGCATCCCTAGGACCCCTCTCCTGGGAGCTGGGGGACCCCCTGAACCCACTGCTGGGCTTTAGGGGACCCCAAAAATCCCCTCAAAACCCAAGAAATCCCCTCAGAAATCCACCCCCAAGACCCATCAAAACCTCCTCAAGATCCCCTGAAGTCCCCTCAGAGACTTCATCCCCCCCGGACCCCCTAAACCCTCTCAGTGACCCACAAAACCCACCTGAGGCCCCCCCAAGCCCAGTCAAGGCTCCTCCAATCCCCCTCAGGGACCCTCATAAATCGTCTGGGACCCCTTAAACCCCCTCAAGACCCCAAAACTGCCTAAAAGGTCCCTGCAAAGACCCCTAAGACCCCCAAGCCTCCTCAGAGACCCTCAAAGGCCCCCTGGGACCGCCCCAAACCTCTTCGGAAACCAAAAACCCCTCAGAGACCCCCAAATCCCTTCAGGAACCTTCAACCACCCCTCTGAGTCCCCTCAGGACACTGAACCCCCTCAGGGACCCCTCAAAACGTCCCCAGGAAATCCCGAACCCCCCCTGGCTAAACCCTCCTGAGCCCTCCAGCCTTTCCACCCGCAGCCGCGCTCCCCGCAGCCCCGAGGGGATCCCCAGAGCCCCGCTCTCGCCGCCCCCCCCGCCAACACTCACAACTCAATGCAGACCCCGCCAGCATCACCGATTCCCAGCAGCCAACATGGCGCTCGCTCTGCGCGCGCACCGACTTCACTGACCCGCCCCGCAGCCAATCAGCGCGCGGACACGGCCCCCGCCCGCCCCCAGCCACGCCCCCGCCCCCCGCGGGGGGGTCTCTACAGGCGGAGGGCGGGCAGAGCCAGCGCCATGTTGGCCGCGGGAAAGCGGCAGTGGAGGGGGTGGAGGTCGCTGCGCTGAACTGTGTGAGCTGGCGGGGGCTGCGGTAAGAGCGGGGCTCTGGGGATCCCCTCGGGGGCTGCGGGGAGTGCGGCTGTGGGTGGAAGGGCTGGAGGTCTTGTGGAGGCTTAGCGGAGGAGTTCGGGGGTTCCCGAGGAGGTTTTGAGGGGTCTCTGAAGGGACTGAGGGGGAAGGTTGAAGGTCCCTGAAGGAGTTTGGGGGTCTCTGAGGGGGTTTTGGTTTCTGAGGAAATTTGGGGTGTCCCAGGTGGGTTTTGGGGGTCTCTGAGGAGGTTTGGGTGTCCTGAGGGGCTTTACAGTGACCTTTTAGGGAGTTTTGGAGTCTCTAAGGGGTTTAAGGGGTCCCAGACGGTTTTGAGCGTCCGTGAGGGGGACTGGGGGTCCCTGAATGGGCTTGGGGGGTCCCAGATGGGTTTTGCGGGTCACTGAGAGGGTTAAGGGGGTGCTGGGGAGGGATGAGGTCTCTGAGGGGATTTGAGGGGACCTTGAGGAGGTTTCTATGGGTCGAGGGGGGGATTTCAGGGGTTTTGAGGGGATTTTGGGGGTCCCCCTAAAGCCCAGCAGTGGGTTCCTGAGGTCCCCCAGCCCCCAGGGGAGGGGTCCTAGGGATGGCCCCCATAATCCGGGGGGGGAGATATACTACATCCGGGTAAGGGGATCCCAGTACCCCCAGTATATCCCAATGACCTCCCAGTGACCCTCAGTATGGCCCAGTAACCCCCTCAGTAACCACCCAGTGTGTCCCAGTGACCTCCCACTGCCCCCTAGTATGACCCAGTGATCCTCCAGTGAGCAGCCAGTAACCCCCAGTATGGCCCAGTAACCTCCTGGTGTCCCCCCCGTGTGTCCTGATAATCCCCCAGTAACTCCGCAGTTCTCTGCCAGTGCCTTCCCAGTGTCCCCCAGTAACCTCCCAGTCCTCCCAGTGCCCCCTGGTTCCCCCGGTGTGTCCCAGTATCCCCCAGTAATCCCCCAGTGCCCCTCAAAGCCCCCCAACTGTCCCCAATGTGTCCCCAGATGCCCTTGGCCTTTCTTTGAGTGTGAGGGGTGGGGCTTTTTTGTGTTCAGAGGGTCCAGGGGGGCTCCTGGAGTGAGATGGAGGATTGGGGACATCAGGGATGGGGTTTGGGGACAGTGAGGATAGTGGCAAGGGTCTTGGGGACACCAGGGGGGGTCTCAGGACTCACCTGCTCTTGGTGCAGCCCGTCCTCTCCCCGCCAGGCCCCTTTAACCCCCCCTCCAAATGTCCCCTAACCTCCATTTTCCCTTTAATCCCCTCCCTCCCACAGATCCCTTTGATGCCCCAATGCCCCCAAAACCTGTTTTAACTCCCCCAAATGCACCCAAACCCCCATGCAACCCCCCCAGATCCCTTCAAATCTCCCCCAGCCCCCCCTCAAATCCCTTCCAACCTCCATCAAAAGGGATCACCTGTCGGCGAGGAAAGCTCTGAACACTTAATGTAAGGATCCAAAACTTCGTTTATTGAAGATAGAAAGCAACTTAATATACACTGCATAATAGGCTCATACATATTACAGAGATTAGGCTCCTAATTGGCACTTGACTAATAGGTGATATCATCTCAACTGCCTTCCATTGTTTACACAGGTGGCTCGTTAAGTGCTTTTGTTTTTCAAATTCCAAGCTCCTGTTTTCCAGCCCAAGTTAGAATACACAAGGTCATTGCTGCTTTCTCATGACCCTGCTATCTCAGACTTTCTCATGGGCCTAGACAGGCTGCGTTTTGCACTTTAGCAGCTTATCCATAGCCTTAGCTATATTCATATCAATCCTCAATAATCACCCAGCACCCTGGGACAGGAACACAGTGGACTGTACTGGGGGCACTGGGCTGTACTGGGAGGGCACTGGGGGGGGCTCAGGTGTCCCAGGACAACGTGTCCCAGCTCGAGGAGAGATCTGGGGGGCAGTGAGGAGGTACTGGTCTGTCCTGGTTAGTACCCCCAATCCCCAAAGCCCCTCCCCAGCTCCCCCAGGACCCTCCTGGACCCGAAAGCCCCCCCCCCAGCCCCTGACTTGGTCCTGCTGCCCCTTGAGCATCTGCAGCTCTTGCAGAACCAGGCATTTCATCAGCAAATGTGCAGCTGACACCAAGCTGGGGGTGTGTTGATGTGCTGGAAGGCAGGAGGGCTCTGCAGAGGGACCTGGCTGAGGAAGAGTGTGGCAGCAGGAGTAGGGAAGTGATTGTTGGGCTGGACTGAGCGCTGGTGAGGCCACCCCTGGAGTGCTGTGTCCAGCTCTCGGCCCCTGAGTTGAGGAAGGCCCTGGAGGGGCTGGAGCAGGTGCAGAGAAGAGCAGTGAGGCTGGGGAATGGAGTGGAGCACAAGTGGTGTGAGGAGAGGCTGAGGGAGCTGGGGTTGTTGAGGCTGGAGAAGAGGAGGCTCAGGGGAGACCTCCTGACTCTCTGCTACTCCTTGCCAGGAGGTTGTAGCCAGGTGGGGGTGGGGCTCTTGTGCCAGGAAGCAGCAGTTAAGACAAGAGAACTGGGTCTTGAGCTGTGCCAGGGGAGGTTTAGGTTGGATATTAGGAAGCAATTTTTTGCCGAGAGAGTAATCAGGCCTTGGAATGGGCTGGGCAGGGAGGGGGTGGAGTCAGCATCCCTGGAGGTGTTGAAGGTGAGAGTGGATGTGGCATCAGTGCCATGGTCTGGGAAGCACGGCGGGGTTGGATCCAGGGTTGGACTTGATGGTCTTGGAGGTCTTTTCCAACGTGGCTGATTGTGTGATTCGCTGATTGCCATTCCTATGTAGCACATGCTTGAGGCTCTATCCACAGGGTGATAGAGATGTCTGTCCATATATATCTGCAAGGTTAGTCTGTAAATGTGTGGTGTTAGAAAAGCAGGCTACGTTCTGGGATGGTTGTAGAAGGAGACGAAAGCCCAGAGGCCAGTGCAAGCAGGCAGCCCTGAGCTTGCACATCATGTCCCCTCCCTGCAGGTTCCTGTCCTTGAGCCCAGGCCCTGAGGTGAGGCTGAGAAGTGGCGCGGAGGTGAGCCCAGAGCTGTCCCTGAGTTGAGCCTGAGAATAAGTGCAAGGCAGAGGTGCTGCAGAGGAAGGAGACCCCCGTGGTGGGGAAGGGAAGAAGCTGTGAGTGCCCAGCCCTGAGAAGGTGCTGTCTCCATCCTCTGTGTGCCAGGTGAGCTGGGGCTTTGCTGCAGAGCTGCGGGCGCTGATTTGAGCGGCTCCAAGTGCTGAGATGGTGGGCACCCAGGAACACAAACTGTGCCTGGCCACGGAACCTGCAAGGAAGAGCAGAGACAGCCGTGGCAGTGTGGGGGGCCAGGTTGTCCCTGTGCCTTCCCCTGCAGGCCCTGGCTGTCCCTGCTGGGCCCCTGTCCATCCCCATCAGGTCCCTGCCTGTCTTCCCCGGGCTGAGCTCCCCCCAGGAAGTGCCGTGGAGCTGAAGCTGCTGCCATCCCCCCCCTGCAGCTGCTGCCTCAGCCAAGGGAGCAGCAAAGGCAGGGCCAGGAGCAGAGGCAGCAGCACGGGAGCCCGGGGGGGCCGGGAAGCTCTTGTGTGGGGCAGGAAAGAGGCGCTGGGCACGAGACCGGGGCTGTGCTGAGCAGGCCCAGCCCTCACATCCCCCCAGCCAGCGCCGGCTGCCCGGGGGTGTGGGAGGGACCCCCAGCCCGTGTGCCCCACACTCAACTGGCACAGAGCGAGCCAAGGGACAGGGCCATGGGTGAGGGACAGGCAGGACCATTGCAGGGCCACGGTGAGGGCACAGCCTGTGGCAGCAGAGCTGCCCAGGACCGGGGTCAGCCGGGGGTGTTGGTACCAACCAGTGCTGGGGCCGAGCAGAGCACGAGGCCTCGAGCAGAGCACGAGGCCTCTTGCAGAGCCCTGGACCAACCTCCCACTTGCCAGCCCTGCCCTGGTGGGGTGTCAGTCTCCCCTCTGTGCAGTACAGTCCCCTCAAAATATTCAGGGGGGCCTTGTGTGTATTCCTGGTTGCTGATTGATGCTGGGGACCTGAGGGCCCCTCTGCAATCCCATCTATGGGGCACAGTCTCCTCCCCAGAGCTTAACTCGCTGCAGACTTTTGCAGGGAAATCTGTGCTGGCAGCCCGAGTATGTCACGACCCCCACGCTCCCCCCAGGATATTTGGGGTGAGTTCCCCCTTCCTGGCCACCCGCGGGATGGGGGGCGATTCTTCTCCTACTGTTGCTGCTGTGCCCCTGGGGGCTCTTGGGGGTGGGCAGGAGGTGTTTTTTGGGGGTGCCGGGCTGGGTTGGTGACAGAGCCCCGGCGGGGGGATGCGGGTCCCCCCCCATGGTGGGGGTTGGTGTTGCTGGGTCAGGCCCTGCCGGCTCCATTGTCAGCCCGGTGCCGGCGGGGGGGACACAGCGGTTTTGGGGTCCCCCGGGAGTGCCAGGGGTGGGTGTGGAGCCCGGGAGCTGCTGAGTGTGGAGGGCGGAGCGGGGCAATGCTGGAGCTGGGGGACCCCCGGCAGCCTGGAGGGGGGAGCACAGAGAGGGAGGAGCCCGAGGACCCCCGGGAGCCTGAAACGGGGGGCGCAGAGAAGGGGAAGCCTGGACAGGTGAGACCCCTGGGATCCCCGGGGCAACAAAGTGGAGAACCTGGAGAGGGGGAATGTCTGGGAACCTGGAACCCTGAAGGCAAGAGTCAGAGGAGAAAGGACCCTTAGGACCCCCAACACTCCCAGACAAGGGAGACCCTCCAAACCCTTGAGAGGGAAGACAAGAGAGAAGAACTGCTGGGAGTGATGTTTTGGGCTAATCTTCACATTTTGGAATATTTTTTAGCTGAGTCTCAACTTTTTGCAGTTTGGGGGGGCGAGGGTCTTCTTGCTATTTCTGAGGGGGTTTTTTGCCTGAATCTTGGTGTTTTGTAGGTTTTTATGGACACAGGATGCCCGGTGAGTTCTAGAGATGGACTTGGGCAGGAGGAACCCCCAAGCCAACGCACTCAGCCCTTGTTTTCCCCCCCATCAGGATTTGTCCTTCCCGAAGCTTGGGCGGATGGAGGAGGAGGCTGCGAGGAAGAGGAAGATGCCGCGGGCCCCCCAGGCAGGTAAGGAGGAAGTCAGTGGCCCTTTGGGCCGGTGTTGTGCTGGCTCTGGCAGCCGAGCATGGCCCCGGCTGCAGGACAACCCCGCTGCTGCCGCCGTCCTACCGGCGCCGGAGTTGGGGGGATGTCCTTGGCCTTCCCTCTGGGCTGGAGGCAAATCCCCTCCCTGTCCTTCTTGCTTCCTGCCCCAGGCCCCGAGCTGAGGACGGAGAGCCCGGAGGACAAATCCCCCTGTGAGAAGCTGGTGGGAGAGGCCGTTTTGAAGGGCTCCACGGTGCAGGAAGGCAGCGGGGAGGAAAAGGCCCAGAGATCCTCCCGCAGGAGGGGCTCCAAAGCCAGCCCAGGGTGCTCTGAGGAGGAAAGACCCAGCCTGTGCCGGGAAGGTGGCCGGAGCATGAGGGGGAACTGTGACCTGGTGGTCCCTGAGCAGCCTCCCAGCAGGGAGAAGCCCTTCAAGTGCTTGGAATGTGGGAAGAGCTTCAGGAGGAGCACCAAACTCCTCACCCACCAGCATATCCACACTGGGGAACGTCCCTACACATGTGGGGAATGTGGGAAGAGCTTCAGCCAGAGCGCCAACCTGATGCGACACCAGATGATCCACACTGGGGAACGGCCCTACACATGTACGGAATGTGGAAAGAGCTTCCACCAGAGCTCAGCACTCCGCATCCACCAGCACATCCACACTGGGGAATGTCCCTACACGTGTAGGGAATGTGGGAAGAGCTTCAATGACAGGTCCACCCTCCGCAAACACCAACGCATCCACACTGGGGAACGTCCCTACAAGTGCTTGGAATGTCAGAAGAGGTTTAAGACCAGTGCACATCTCCTCATGCATGAGCAGACGGACACGGATGAGAGGCCCTTCCGCTGCACCGACTGCGGGAAGGGCTTTAAGCGGAATTCCACCCTTGTCACCCACTGGTGCATCCACACTGGAGAGAGGCCCTACACATGTGGGGAATGTGGGAAGAGGTTTCAGACCAGGTCAGCTCTCCTCCAGCATGAGCGGACGCACATGGATGAGAGGCCCTTCAGCTGCGCTGACTGCGGGAAGGGCTTCAAGCACAATTCCCACCTTGTCACCTGTCGCGACGAGGGAAGAATGAAACCCTCAATATGAGAATCATCAAACTTCATTTATTGCATATTGACTGCAGCTTAATATACACTCCATAATTGGTTCATACATATTGCAGGAATTGAGCTCATTATTGGTACTTACTTAAGTTGTGATATCACCTCTACTCCCTTCCTTTGTTTACACAGGTGGCTCTTCAGTTGCCTTTGTTTTGCTAATGCCAACCTCCTGTTTACCAGCCAGTTTTAGCACATACAAAGACACTGCTGCTTTCCCATGGCCTTGCTGTCTCAGAGGTTCACACAAGCCAATTCCTTACATTTCCCCGTTTTTTGTTTTGTTTTGATTTGTTTTTATTTGGCATCACAAAAATCTTATTAGCAAAAACCATCGTAAACCTTTCTTAACAAGACTCAAAACCCATTGTGACATTGAACCAAAAATAGACTGTAACCATGCATCAAAGGGGTTTGTTGCTACTGTAATCTGCTTCGAGCGATCTGTTCACTAAAAGGTGTTTGTGAATTTGTGTTCATATATTTACACACACATGCATACACTTTCATTCATTCACATTTACACGGTGGCCACCATCACCCAAACACATTTCACACAAGCATACTTCTGTGTTTCATGTCACTGCGTTCCACAAACCTAAGAAATTATAATAATTCTTTAGTACCTTATAATGCTAGAGTTTCTTAACTAAACAGATAAAACTAATCAGATAGATAAGCTTTCTTTTACCAATGCCTAGTGAGTAATCTAAAAGGTCACACAACACATTATACTTAAATTCTTACCCTCTATAATTATGTGCCTTAAAAATACTAAAAATTTGTGCTCAATAAACTGTGTTCTAATAATATTAAGACAACTGTTAGCTACAACAGCTTCTGGTGGTGTCACAGTCACCTGCAGGAATAACATCAACCTTGTTCCGAAGAACCAGCTTCTTTCCAAGGCCTCATCCATCATGCAGATAGCTAGAGAACACCTGTGTGCAAAAACTTAAGACATGAAAACACTTTTGCAAGTTAACTAAGGGGCTGACACCCTTCTCTTTACCAAATACTTTTGTGGTAATAACAAAATTCTATAACAGTTCCATTTTGTAGCACAGTATGTATAGACTATCCATGTCTTCTAACAATTCTGAAAATGCGTTAGGAATCAACAACCAAATTTTCCCTCTATCATAGTATCTCACAGAATTCGTTTTTATTTTTGCTCTGGACCTTCCCCACTCGAGTTAGCCCCTAAACCCCCAAACTGCAGACTCACAGGTTCTCTCAGCACAGTCCCACTCCATCCCTCCTCCCTAAATGGACTCTGTGGAGGTGGTGGAGTCTACAGGGGAAAAAAGAGCCTTGGGGGAAACTTGCCCCCGTATGGGGATATAGGGCTGGCAATGGCAGAGGAGTTGCAGAGAGCCTTGTCGCTTTAACTTCTGATCTGCCACAGATGTCCGCAAGAGTTTTCTGGCAGTTGTACTTGATTCTCTAAGTCTCTCTGTCTGTTCTCGTAGTTCAATGTCAGACTCGGTGACGCGAGGAGCAGACAGCAGCAGCAGCGCGATGGCGCGGACCCGTTCGCGGCTTTTTCCCCTCCTCCCGTTCCTACCGAAGTTGTCTCCCGCTGGGTTTGGCGGAGGCGGGGCCGCGGCAGCGGGAATTGCTTTCGCGAACGGGCAGGCGGCGGCGGGCCCGGTCGGGCAGGCAGGGCACGGCGGTGCCGGCAGTGCACAGAGGCAGCGCATGGCGGCGGGGGGGACCGTGGCGGCGGCGGGGGGGGCCGTGGCAGCGGCGGGCGGAAATGGCGCGGCTTCTGGCTAAGGCAGCTTGGGGCGACTCCTGGGTCGACGCAAGCACTGGAGCGGTGGGAGGACCGGCTCCATGCGGCAGTACATCGGAGCCGGGCATGGCTCCAGGCGACAACAGGGCAGCAGCTTTAGAAGCAGCGATGGGAAAAACGGCAGCGGGGGCGGCGGAGAGCCCGCCGCGGGGGGAGGCACAGCTGGCAGTGGCCTCCCTGGCGTCCTGCACAGAGCTAAAACTTTTTAGGGCTAAAGATAAACTGCTGCTGGGGCCGCTGGCTGACAATCGGGCAGAAGCCTGCACTTTGAAATTTGTCGGTAGCACAATTGTTGAGATGATGAATAAAAGCTGAAAAACTGACTCGCTCTTTTTGCTTTTAGTTTTGCTGCTCGCTAATGCAGCACTTTGATCTCTTCCCCTAACTGGTCCTTTATAGCATCCCGTATGGACACCTCAAAGGCAGCTTGAGCTGTGGGGATTAATAACCCTTTAAGGGCTTTTTCGTCATAATTAGAATCTCTCTCAGAGAGAATTAAATAGAGGAGCGTTCGCACGCCTCTTCTTTTGAAAGAGCGGACCCCATGCCCCCCTTCAGCTGCTCACCTGACCAGGGTGAAATTCCGCTTGTATTGCGGTTCTGCACGCAGCTTTAAATTCTTGACGCCGGGGGCAATGTCTCGTCTATCGTCTGTTTCTCTCGGCTCTTTCTGTTCGCCCTACGTCCCTCGGAACGGCGAAATCGGAGTCCCTGTTTGTCCAGGCACCTATTAGTTCCTTTCTTAAGTCTATACCCTAAACTCCTCACTTTTCTGAAAAGCACTGGAGTAATAAAAACACCGCTTGTCTTTTCACACCTATAATACATCAGCGCGCTGTTTGCAGCCCTTTAAGACTTCGGCGGTGTCTATCGGCAGGACCCTCTCCTCAGAGGTCATCCCGGGCGTGGAGTTCAACTCTTTCGTTGCCGGAAGCGCGGAGTTTAACTCTTTTGCCGTCCAAAATCCCCGAAAGGAGGTGTTCGGCGGCGGCGAGTTTGAGCTCTTTTTGCTACCGCGGGCGCGGAATTCATCTCTTTCGCCATCCAAAATCCCCGAAAGGAGGCATTCGGCGGCGCCGAGTTGAGCTCTTTTCGTCCAACTCTTTTCGCCGCTTGTGCTGCAGCAAGACCGACCGAAACTACTGCGTCCAACCGTGACTTCGAGAACTCGACTTAGTTCCCGGGGGCTCGACTTAGCCCCTGCCCTGGGATTCCGCTTAATCCCTGGGATCGCAGGGTTAACTTAATCCCTGTGCGGTGCGCCATTTGTTGCGACGAGGGAAGAATGAAACCCTCAATATGAGAATCATCAAACTTCATTTACTGCATATTGACTACAGCTTAATATACACTCCATAATTGGTTCATACATATTGCAGGAAATGAGCTCATTAGTGGTACTTACTTAAGTGGTGATATCACCTCTACTCCCTTCCTTTGTTTACACAGGTGGCTCTTCAGTTGCCTTTGTTTTGCTAATGCCAACCTCCTGTTTACCAGCCAGTTTTGGCATATACAAAGACACTGCTGCTTTCCCATGGCCTTGCTGTCTCAGAGGTTCACACAAGCCAATTCCTTACAGTCACCCACCAGCGCATCCACACTGGAGAGAGGCCCTACAAGTGTGGGCAGTGTGGGAAGGGCTTCAGGAAGAGCTCTGACCTGATCCAACACCAGCATATCCACACTGGGGAACGACCCTACTCATGTGGGGAATGTGGGAAGAGCTTCAGTGACAGCTCCACCCTGATCCAACATCAGCGCATCCACACTGGGGCATGGCCCTACAGGTGTGGGGAATGTGGGAAGAGCTTCAGAAAGACCTCCAACCTCCGCACCCACGAGTGCATCCACACTGGGGAATGGCCCTACTCATGTGGGGAATGTGGGAAGAGCTTCAGGAACAGCTCCAACCTCTGCAGACACCATCGCATCCACACTGGGGAATGGCCCTACAAGTGCTCGGAATGTAGGAAGAGGTTTCAGACAAGCTCAGATCTCCTGAAGCACCAGCAGACACACATGGATGAAAGGCCCTTCCGCTGCACCGACTGCAGGAAGGGCTTCAAGTACAACTCCCACCTCATCGTCCACCAGCTCATCCACACTGGGGAACGGCCCTACAAGTGCTTGGAATGTGGGAAGAGGTTTCAGACCAGCTCAGATCTCCTGAAGCACCAGCGGACGCACACGGATGAGAGGTCCTTCCGCTGCACCGACTGCGTGAAGGGCTTCAACCGGAACTCCCACCTCGTCACCCACCGACGCATCCACACCGGGGAGAGGCCCTACAAGTGTGGGGAGTGTGGAAAGAGCTTCCCCAGGAACTCTGCCTTGACCAGACACCAACGGACCCACCAGTAAGGGCACCCTACGAGTGCCCCGACTGCGAGAAGAGCTTCGGCCGCTGCTTCCACCCCGAATGAAGCCCCTGATGGTGAGGCAACCCCTGGAGTCCAGTGACTGTCAGTCCATCCCTTTCTACCACAAAGGGCCAGTCCCCTTTCCCAGGGGCAGGTTCTTCCTACAGAACCCTTCTTGGGGGGTGTGTGGAGATTCCTACCTTGGCTGGGGACCCTCCAAGGTCAGTCCTGGAGGTTGAGAGCAGAGATCTCCCCACGAGCATTGGTCTGGGGGAGTTCCATCCATCTCTAATTAAGAATTCTTGCTTTTGTGCCAGCTTGAGTAGAATTGCTTCAACAATTGCTTTAGAGTAGAGCACTGTCCTATCTTATCCTGTACTCCTGGTAGTTTTAGTGTTTCTCTTGTGCAGTAAATAATTCTGATGAAGATCTTTTGTCTGATCATTTGGAACCCTAAATAAATTCATTTCTATCAATAGACATGATTTGCCGTCATTAAAACTTAGGGGACAAAAGTGGTTCAGTCACACCTCTCTAATTCCTCTAAACTGAAACTATTGGCATAATCCAAGGCTGAGACTGGATCCAGCAGCCCCCAGCACCCCACAGGAAGTTGGGAGCTCAGGGCGACCACCTCCCTTTCCCAATCTCCCTGTGCACGAAGACTCCCATGGGACCGTCGGACCTGCCAGACCACCCCCCCTTTTTCACCATTCTCCCTGTTCCTCCCACTTTCCCATTGTCCCTTCAATCCCCAATTCCCCCCCCCC